GCCACTCACGGTCTGGAGGCGCCAGATCCACGCCGAGGCCTGGGCTGCAGCGCCCCGGCCAAGGGAGCCAAGCCCCACCCAGGGTCCTGAGCTCCCTGCTCCTCCTGGAGTGACACAGAACGGTATTTCCTTCACAGCTCGGGCCCCAGGGCTCTGTGAAGAGGACTAGGCTGGTTTCTGTGGAAGCCCTCTCTCTGCTTCCCCAGAAGGGGCGTCAGACTCCAAGAGCTTCTCTGCCAAGGCTGGCCAAGAATGCAAACTCAAGTGCCCTCAGGGTCAGACAGGCAACACAGGTGACAAAAGCTAGCTGGTGGAGGCCAATTGGAAGGTCCAGACCCAAGTTCAAGGGGCCGTCACCAGCTGTAGATGTGGTGACCCAGTGGGAATCTTTGTGGAAAACCGCCTCAGAGTTAAATGTCAACAATGAATGTGGGTTTAAAAATAGATCACGAGAGTGATTTTTTGCCTGAGTGTAGAGCTCTGGTCTTGAGCCTTTGCGGTCTCCTGCAAGCCAATGCATAGAGACCAGTCTTCTTGGATAAACCTCCTGCGCCCAGCTTACGAGTGAGAAAAACATGGGGCAGGCCTGAACCCCGGGGACCTGGGAGATGGACACCCTCACTGAAGGTTTAGGTCCTTGCAGCCACCCTTGGGCCTGGCTGGGAGTGGCTGGGAAGCCCAGCCAAGAGGGAGCTGGAAGCAAGAAGCCAAAGGACCCGGCCATGCTAGATGATGTCGGGGTTCGAAACCTCCTGGGGATGAACCACTGAGCTGGGCTCATTCCCCAGAGCTCCCCATGACCATCTATCAGATGGCCATGACTAAAGTCTGCGTCTCTGCGTCACCTGACATGATGGCCTCACCTGCTCTTCTTGTCTTCCCCTTGTCTGTTCTCTTGTCTTGTCACCCTGATAGCTCAGGGTCCACCATCTTTGCTCACTAAATCCCCATCCGCCAAGTCCACCATTTACTCTCCCAGAGACGTTAGCAGTTGGGCCCACCCACCTTCCCTGATCTGTGCTCCCTTCTGGCCTCACCTCTAGCCTCCCCCCCATTCTCCACGCCCTCCCCTGCCCCAGCTCATTTATTTGGGATCCAACCCTCTGCCTCGCTCCTAGCAAAGGACCCGTGAGATCCCACGCACAGCCCCAATCCCTCAGCTCCACGGTGTTCCTGCTAGTTTGAGGATTTCACTGCTCATGAAACCACATCTCATTCACAACCTTAAATAATCAAGCACAGGAACTCCTGACCTCTAAGTTAGTGATCTCCATCTGCACCTTCCATCACGTTCTTTGCTGCAGACTGTAGAATCAGCCATTTCCTCCCAAGGTACTCCTGGGATCACCTTTTCCTTCTACTTCAACTCTCATCACACAAAGAGCTCACCTTGGCCTGGCTGAGGTCTAGAAGAACATCCTTTTGCACCTGGTCTGCATGTCAAACTGCTACTTCTCTGTTTTCAAGATGGTTCGAGTACCAGCTCCTACTGAGAGTCATCCCAGACTTCTCCTGGTCGAGCTCAGTGCTCTGATCTCTGAGCACTTTACGATGAGTGACTTGGGCATGCCCTTGTTGGAGCACCTGGGACATCTTTGTGAGGATCCATGCACATGCCTGTCTGCTCACCAGAGAAGCCCTGGGTGGTAGGGTGAGGAGTTCATCTTTGAGCCCCTTCCCCTCGGTGCCAAGCCCTGCACCCTGAAGTCCTACATAACTCTTTGCACTTGAAGGAGTACCTAAAAAATAAATCAAGTTTCTTCTCAGGTTTCCTGCATTGCCCTGAGGAACAGGGATGAGAAGGCCCACTTCATGAGAATGGGAACCACGTCCATCTTGTTGACTCTGGGACCCTGCATCTTGGTTGGTGCCCGGCATTCTGTGTATATTTGTGCAATGAATGCATTTGGTGGCAGAAATGTTCAGGTGCTCATCGACATGAAACCCTTCCTGGGTCCCCTATTCTCCTCCTCCGGTATGGACAGAGGCCCCTTCACTGTGACTCCAGGTCCCTTCCCATACCCTCTGTCATAGCACATTTGTCTATTTGACCCCTTGGTCTCTAGGTCACTACCCTGTGACCCCCTGGAAGATGATATCTTACCCACCTTGGCATACCTAGCACCTAGCACGTAATACAGGGCCTGGTACAGTTATGCCCTCAATTCAACTTTGACAGCTAACTGCATGCGTGTGTGATTGATGAACAAGAGGGTTTGCTTCTCCAGGACGTGGCCAGTCTCTGGCTTCAGGTGGGCAGCCTTGGTTCTGGGAGAGGAGAAGAAGAGGCAGGAAATTCCCCCACTGCTGGGCACCCAACTCACCTTGGTATTGAGTAGCTGCCATGTAGCTCTGAGAAGGAAACAGGAGGGGGTGAGTGGAGAGAGGTGCTGGGGGAGGGGCGAGAGCCCTCATTATTCATGGCAGCATTTCCTAGGCTCATTAATTCCAACAAGATGAGCTGGGTTTGATTAATCGGGTTGTTAAGCAGCCACGTCAAATTGCCGATCAGGTAAGAGACATTGCTCTGGTCCCTGGCAACGGTGCCCAGCGACAGTGAAGTCTCTGCTTCCCAAGCAGCAGCCCCAAGACTAGGCGGGGAAGGGTGAGTTATTGACTGGAGCACAACTGATAACGAGACCTGGGCCCAGAGCCTCGGCATGGTCATCTGGATGGAAAAGGAGGGACATGACCTGCCTGGCCCCGGTGGCCAGCTAAGGGCCAAGAGGCATGGGTGTGCTACTTCCTCTGGAGCAACCTGCCCGGGCCCCCACGCTTTCCTTTGGGGAAAAGGAAGCCCCAAAAGGTAGAATAGGGACTTGCTTCTGGTACTGCAAATATTAGAAAGCAAGGACACCGAAACTGCCAGAAAAGTTTAACTTCGTTGAAGGAAGCCATCCATGATTTTAGGGGAGGGAAAATCCAGAAGCAAGCTAATTGAACTCTGGCGTTGAGGCCAATTTTTTTATTTTTATGATTTAGTATATTTTAATGTACATTTGAGGAGAAAGTCATAATCTTTTTAGTGTTCAAATCTTCTAAAAGGTCTCAACCTGGACCATTCACCAACTTCTACTGGTCAGACCTGTGTGTCTTCAAGAGCAACAGAAGCAGAAATGAGCCAGATGGAGTCAGGTTAGACTTAGGAAGATGCTGTTTGCAGTGAATTCTGTTAAAAGCTAAACGGTGGAATGTGGAAACCCAGTCTGCTCTATAAGAATCATAAAAAAATAAAAAACATAAGAGAGACCCCAGCCTGGGTGCAGTGGCTCATGCACGTAATCCCAGCACTTTGAGAGGTTAAGGCAGGAGGATTGTTTGAGTCAGGAGTTCGAGGTCAGCCCAGGCAACATAGTGAGATCTAATCTCTACAAAAAAATATCAGAAAAGTAGGTGGACATGGTGGTACACACCTGTAGTCCCAGCTATTTGGAAGGCTGAGGAGGAGGGATCATCTGAACCTAGGTAGAGGCTGTCTGTGGTGAGCTGTGACTGTGCCACTGCACTGTAGTCTAGGCAACAAAGTACACACCAACTCAAAGAGAGAGAGAGAGAGAGATAAAGAGAGAGACAGAAAGAGAGAGAGAAAGAGAGAGACAGAAAGAGAGAGAGAAAGAGAGAGAGAGGGAAAGAAAGAGAGAGAGAGAGAAAGAGAGAGAGAAAGAGAAAGAGAGAGAGAAAGAGAGAGAGAGAAAGAGAGTGAAAGAGAGAGAGAGAGAGAGAGAGAGAGAGAGAGAGTGAAAGAGAGAGAGAGAGAAAGAGAAGAGAGAGAGAGAGAGAGAGAGAAAGAGAGAGAGAGAGAGAAAGAGAGAGGGAAAGAGAGAAAGAGAGAGAAAGAGAGAGAAAGAGAGAGAGAAAGAGAGAAAGAGAGAGAGAGAGAGAAAGAGAGAGGGAAAGAGAGAAAGAGAGAGAAAGAGAGAGAGAGAGAAAGAGAGTGAAAGAGAGAGAGAGAGAGAGAGAGAGAGAGAAAGAGAGAGAAAGAGAGAGAGAAAGAGAGAGAGAGAAAGAGAGAGAGAGACCCACTAAAGGGAAAGGTTACACGACGAGCTCAAGGTCACACAGCCATCAGCCTCTGAGCCTCGCCACACCACTCTGCTCATCCTGCTTCCACCCACTAGTTCCTGCTACCCCACCTACACCTGTGCCTGTCAGTCTCTTTTCTGTCTACTCGTCTGCAGATCCCACTTCAATCCCTGGCCCAGCTCGGACACTCTGCCAAATCTCCCATCTTCATCCACACTTTCAAATCCTCCAAATTTTCAAATCCTCCAAGTCTGGGACTGTACCCACAAAACCCATAGAACTGAACACACTGGAGATGCACAATAAAAGTGTGTTTACTCACGGGACAGGCGCCAGGTTATCGGAAAGGACAAGCCCCTGTGGCCCAGCCCCTGAGGTTCCAGCATTGACGCCAGGAGGAGTATTAGGATCTTGTCTGCAGAGTTCAGCCAACTCTAGAGCAGGGGTCCTCAAACTACAGCCCGCGGGCCACATGCAGCCCGCCGAGGACTTTTATACGGCCCACAGGGTGTTTTTGCCGCCTTAACTTGTTACGACTAGCAGTGACAAATATGGAACCGGACATTGACCATCTCATTAGCCAACAGCAGGCCCATAGTTCCCACTGAAATACTGGTAAGTTTGTTGATTTAACTTTACTTGTTCTTCATTTTAAATATTGTATTTGTTCCGGTTTTGTTTTTTCACTTCAAAATAAGACATGCGCAGTGTGCATAGGAATTTATTCATAGTTTTTTTTTTAA